AGAACGTGGGTGATTTTTCCCATACAAGGGTCTGTGGACGCAGTGTGACTCTTCAGTGAAAAAAGAAGCTAGCGAAACAGCAGAGAACCCCCGAAGAGGGGTTATTTTTTTCACCACTGTTTGTACAAGTTCTCCACTGCTGGCTCCATGCTTACATGCCGACAACGATGCTATTTTCGTTCATCTTGTTGAAGCTCCCTACCAAAAGGATTGAGGGTAGGGGAAGGTGGGAGGAGAACAGCTTACATTCCAGCACTATCACAAACCCTTAGCGTCCCCCCCGCGCTGCCTAGTGACAAAATACTTGCTCAAGCAACTGCTCACTGCACACTTTATTCATGAAAAGATTTCCACCTCTCAGCGCGTAGAGTGCCTCTGAATTTTGGAACATGCTTCAAAACATTGTGTAATCTGAGCAGTTCTTTATCAGGAGCAGGTAAGAATAATGGTGGAGAATCCATTCGCTTTGTAGTACTGGTGTTCATCGTGTTGACCCTCATTTTCTGCGCTATCAGGTTCTCGTCTCCTCTTCTCACTTACAGGATTTCTGATGGCCTTGTGAGTCTCAGATAGTGATCTACGTAGGTTTCTGGTGCATTTAAATTCAAACTCTAGCCCTACGTGCAGATCAGGCTTATTGTACTTTCCCCATTGGTGCACCAACTTTCTTTGCCGTTAAATACGGAGCAGCGGATGCATTAATTACAAAAGTACACATGAATGTTCCTGACCCCTTCATGCTCATTAATACGATGCTTTCCACATTAAGCTCTTTATTGATTATTATTTGAGACGGAGTGAACAGCGAGAATGAGCAGATGAAGTATGAGATGTTCAAATTTCTAGCTGGAGTCAGTGGCTTTGGCCAATGGCAATTTACATCGACAAGGTGAGGAACATTTTTGGTCTTTCTATTTCTGAAAAAAAAAACATACTAATCTCTAGCTGAACACCAGAAAAGCTTCCAATTCCTGCAACAATCCCAAGACTGACCAAACTGTCAAATCCGGAAATAGCGCAGATAAAGGCACAACCCACACCGGTGTCAAATATTGTTTCCTGTGAAGTTCGCTTACCATCATGACCTTTTGAAATTCCCAACCAAACTGCCGGAGACGACTGTTTTCCAGAAGTGCGTTCTCAAGATGTGCAATTTTGCGTCGTCATGAAGCAGGCAATTTCTGTTGAGCTGTGAGAGTTATGGTGCAGTTTTTTCACCTCCCTTTGCTATTGCATTGAGGCTGACTGATAACCATCGCAGTAGACATAGCTCGCCAGAACCTGTGCACGGGCGCCATCAAACCCTAAGTGGGATTGACGAGCGTCCAAAGTAATCCAGGCCCTCCGTGACTTTCTGATAGATTCAGAAAGAAGCTTTCGGGAACAGTTCACGGTGAACGACCTCTCTTAGCTGGAGTTACAAAGTTGCTCAAAGAGAGAAAGAATTTGTCAGCAGCACCCACGGTGCAATGATCACGTTGAAGAATTGATCCACCTATGAAGAAACAGCTGACGTAGTCTCAATACCCTTCCCCAAGGGACCAAGGTCCTTTATCCCATCGTGCGTAGCTCATGGCTAGAAAGCAGTAAATTATTGAGTTTGATCAGAAAGCGCAGATGTACCGAGGTTCTAATGCAGATGGCCTTAAAGCGGGGTTTTCCCCGGGTCTGAGTATGAAGCGGATGTGCTAGCGCCTCTCGTAATAGGCAATACAACATCAGGAAGTGACTAAGAGCAAATGCTGCGTATGGCTTTAACAATATTGTGATCCAGACGGGATCCATGTGGTAGATCGTGACGAAAGTGAAGCTTTCCATTCACCATTTTGAATTTCACAGCGAATTTCCAAGCATCTTGATACTATCACTGTCAGCAAGGCATATACACAATTACCTAATCAGTGTATTTTTGCAGCGACTCGCTGTTCTCAGATACAGTATTGTGCCAAGATCGCGCAACTGTCGCCGATTACATTTTTTCGTCATTGTTCATGTACGACCAACCGACAAACTGATACGCGAACAGTGGCGTAGAACATACGGCCAACTTCAGCGTGAGGTTTGCAACGCTACCTCTTTCAGATGCGAGAATAGCTCGCAAATGTCTGTCATTCTTTCTTTTCAGCATAATTTTAATATTATATTCGTTACCGGATTCGCTCATAACGGGTCGCTCGATGACGAGCTGAAAGCTGAGGCATCTCTTTATGGAGATATTTTGCAAGCTCAGTTTCACGACACCTATAGAAATCTCACCCTAAAGGTGAGATACAGTTCAATTTCATCTGTTTTACTTGAATTTTTTCCTCCTCTTATTTTGCCCGCTCCTTCATCCCCCGCGTTCAAATTATTCTAGAAAACAACTTCTTGCGTGCATACCTTTTTCATTCAAATTACAACACTATGAGCCAGATCCAGCACCTTTGACCTCAAGCTCAGCTTACTTTTCACATCAGAGAGTTTATTAACCAGATCACACTAGTCACAATCGCAAGCCTTGACCCGGAAGCCTTGCTCGCTTTTCAGCGAGGTGCTGATTTTGTAAATTCCATATCATACCTTTTGCCCGGTTTTTTAGCAGTCGGATCACCCGGCGAGGGGTGATCGACTGCTTACAAAATCCGGCCTTCGCCGGGCCGCCTGGCTTCGCTTAGGGCCACTCTCCTTTAGGCGAGATAGAGTGTGCAAAATACGAATAGCCGTCACAGTGCATTTCCAGCAAAATGGAGAAAAATAATTGAAAACAGCTCGAGCAATAGGTTAAAGTTGAACTGGCCAGAGGATCGTGCAACATACAGCGCTTTGTTACTTCCGAAATTCTCTAACGACATTAAACGAAACGAGCCTGACGTTCGTTGATTCAATCTTATCTGATTGCTAGCAGTTGTTGGTACCAACTAGGGTCTTTCTAAACCTCCTTACGTCGTATCGGAACCAGTTCTACTTGCTGTGTGGACAACGCTGTGATGGGACTCCAGTGACCAATTACCTTGTAACATCTCGAAACTTATCAGCAGCTGACGGTTCCTGTCATCCACCCATAATGTTCCTGTCCATTAGAAGCTAAGAAAAACAAACATGGGAAAGGAATACACTCCACAACACAGGATGATCCGTTTCGCTCGGTATCGCAGACGAATCATCATTGTCTAGCCAACCCCCGAGCTCATCAGTGCGATAGGTTGAAGACAAGAGGACATAGACTACATAGGGGAAGGTGTGAGAAATAGGACAAAAAGAGAGAGATTGTAAAAAAGGGGGGGGGTAACATGCAAAGTTCATGCATCAAGATGATGATGAATTATACAATAATAATGAAGGAGTGCATATAACACGATCAGTGTGCTGTAAATACGTGTGGAAGGAAGGGAAAAGGAGTAAACCGGCAAAACCACTGAGAGAATGTTGAGTATAAGAGAAGGTATACAAGAAATAAATCAATTAAAGTATAGTGGAAGGAAGGGAATTAGTGTTGAGCACTGCTGCAAATGAGTAAACCTGTGACTAGTCTATTTATCTTTCTATAGTTATTTGCGATTGAGAGTACTTGTAACTTATAAATTTATTTTTATAAATACACTTAACAATGCTAGTAATAATAAAATCTTCTTCGTAGCCATTTTTCAAAAGAGTGGTGACCATATCCGTTATTTTGCTAACGAAAACGTTGAAGAACGAACAAGTGTTCGCTAACCTCAAAGTTTCCGTATATATAACAGAGGATTTGTTGATAAGAGAATGTTTGTGTCACTATACGGAAATCTGATTACATTGAAGCTAAAATCATCCGTTTTATTATACAGCTTGGTACTAATTTTACCGTTAGTATATTAATTGTTAAATCTAAATAATTGCTAGAAACTTCACTATTATGAGTTTTTTCAACTGAAGGGTATTTTGATAAACTTGAGAAAGTAGTTCATCCACATCATCATCAGTTTGGTTGTGAACAACAAGCAAATCATCCCATACCCTAAATCATATGTTGGAATCAACACCTGGCTGATGCTGTGACCCGCATTACGAATATGGTGAGAGTTCCATTCTGAGGCCTCTTATCAGATATTATCAACTGATATCAACTTCACTTCCTATCACCCACCAATAGTGTTCCCGTCACACCCTCTACGTCACTTCTTGGAACCAATATCTCGCTGCTACTGGGACCGGCGCTATGAATTTCGTGTCAAAGAGACAGACGCACACGCACGGACATAGTCGATTATATATGGTAGAATTGTAACCGTTGTCCCAATGTAACGCTGAAATCTATCCTTTTGTCCATTCTTTTCTCGGGGTTAGTACCAAAAATCTCCATAACCCTCACACGAAAATTCAGTAAGTAAGAGCAGCCTTCGAAGCATCCTACCGCTCAATGCGTTCTCCACCACTGTAGGGTTTTTTCTGGAATGCACTCCCGCATTCGGCAGTCTTGCGCTTCGAATGGTCCTCTCTCGGGTTGTTGATGGAAGATAATCATGGTCATAGTGATAAAGTTAGTTGCTGCAGTTCATGGCAACTGAGTAAACAACCGTCATGCATCTGAACTCCAGTTGCTTTAGCGGCCGTACATGATGTCGATAGCGGTAAGAGCATAGGAGTGAGTTGTGTACGAACTACTGAGAGCCTGATACCTGTCATATCAATCGCATTGTGGCAGTAAGCGGTGTTGCGGATTCCCGCATGATGACGCTTTCAACCCTTATCAGTTGCTGTCACTTAGTGTCACCCGTCAGTGGGTTCCCGCCCTCCTCCCCCTATACCACTTCTTTGAACCAAGGTCCCACAGACCCTGCAACCTGCCCTACAAAGTTGGTGACCCTCCGCATCTAAGGCCCCTTATCGAATCTTATCAGATGTTATCAGCTTCTGTCACACACTTCTCTACCACATCTTGAAATCAAGGTCCCACGGTCGCTGCAACCTGCGCTAAGAATTTGGTGACACCCGCGTCTAGGGTCCCTTATCGGATCCTTATCAAATGTTAACGCTCACCATTCGCGCGGTCCCGGGTTCGAATCCCGGGTCGACTCCCGCCCAGGCCAACCAAGCCTTCTACCCTCCGGGGACGGTAAATTGGTACCAGATTCGTCTGGGAGGATAAAACACTGACTTGTACATCGGCTGGCCACCGCAAGTCATTGTATAGGCCACATCATTCAATAAGCCACTACGATTCTGAATGGAAGTAGAATGCGTGCCGCATCCCACAAAGGGATTGATCAACGGCGAAGACTTTATCCTTTATATCCTTATCAAATGTTATCAGCTCCTGTCAGCCACCACCCTACGTGTATATCACTTCTTGAAATCACGGTCCCGCAGCTGCTGCAACTTGCCACGAATTCGGTCACCCTCCCTTCTAAGGCCCCTTATCGAATCTTATCAGGTGTTATCACCTCCTGTCACCCACCAAAAGTGTTCCCGTCCTGCCTTGTATATCACTCCTTGAAATCAAGGTCCCGCAGCTGCTGCAACTTGCGCTACGATTGCAGTCACCCTCCCCTTCTAGGGCCACTTATCGAATCTTATCGGGTGTTATCACTTCCTGTCACCCACCAAAAGTGCTCCCGTCCTGCCGTGTACGTCACTTCTTGGAGCTGTCATCCCATTATTTATCTTGCGACCGCTCGCTATGAATTTCGTGAAGACAGACAGGACGCACACAAGACACACTCCACGGCACATAGCCCATATATAGAGTAGGATACTCTTCTATTTTTTATACTCTTGCTATCTTGCACAAAGATGGAAAATATAGAATACCGACACACTAGAGACCCACTTATTTCATAAAACGAACTCTGAAGAAATACAAGATTTCACAATTTTAGAATTAAACGTCATCGTTTTCACATCCACACATCATCATCGAACAAACTCATAAGCTCGCATTTTTACACTCGCACACGTCTCCCTTTCTCGGGCCACTCCCACGCTCGGGGTTTCTTATGGAATTTAGACCTTCTTCAAATTTTTGACTTTTTAAGCCGTAACGGTAGTCCCGTCCACTTCGATGACCCCTCGCAGACCTTTGAAAATTGACTCGAATTGACAAGCTGGCATGTCATCTAGCAGAAAAAACCTCGCGTCTCATTCGTAACAAGAACCAGGCAAGCTCCGGGACTGTAAGCAAAACCCTTACTTGTGAAAATATTGATTAATCCTCCTAACTTCTCGAAAGTGATCGGGCGTCCGCGACGTGCTTCTTGTAGTGAGCAGGGCACTTACATCTACCTAGATAGGTGACAGTTTCGGAAAAAGTCAAATTTTGCAGAAAGTCGAGAAGGGCACGGAGTTCAATCGACAATAGTCTGTGTGATCTTTCTCAGAGAGCAAATTCACCCACATCGTACTGACCGATCAGAACCCTCTTGCGGATCGAACGGGCATTTTGTGACGAAACTCACTACCGCAGTGGACGACACTCGGTCGACTAGACTAGTAGACTTGTTTTCGCGAATGTGCAGAAGATCTGGTGGTGCAAGTTGCAAGCACAGTTTAGGTAATGACATTATGGTAGAAACCGCTGCTAGACTACAGACCTCGTCAAATAATTTACAGCTCCAACCAAGGTGAATTTGGCGCTCTTGGTTTTGGCGCACCTTGTATGAACACACGACTTTATTCTACTATTATCCTACTTGTAACATCGCTCTGATGTTTATTTGAAATTACAGAATATCGCCGCCCTGAGATTTGTCGCTGCCATGTGTCCGACAGTGCAAGCAGTTGTCAAACTGGATGATGATGTCGCATGGAATATTGAGGGAACAAAATCGACCGTTGATGAATCCATAAAAGATGGGTATATCCGCTGCATCAAGTATGTCAGCCTCTTAACTAACCCTTTCGAATGAAATCAAAGTGAAGGGGCGCTGCACTTGATAGGATCCATGCCTAAGCAAGCAAAGGATCAAAAGGGGTGAAGGTCGCTGTTCCGAACGCAGAAAAGTTATTGTAACTGTGCCCTTGCTTCCGAATATTGCATCCTCTAGGGCTGAAATTCCAAAAGGGAGGGTGGACTGGTTCAGAGTTCTCGTTCCTCATGATCTCTTAAACTACAATGAGCGACTACGCATGTGAATTTATAACGTCTCCAACGGGAATATGTGGGTGAGGAAGGGTGAAATGTTTGAAGCGTAGAAAATCTAACAATTGTTAATCTTCTTCTGAGTTGCGCCTCATGCGGGTACCAGCTGCAGTTCAAGGCGCCATTTCTACCCCCCTTCCCTTAGAGATGTCAGATTACATATGATAGAAAAGAGGGCTCAGTTGATGTGGGCTGCATCCGAGAGGATAATAGAGTAATGGGCAAGCAAGCTGTAGAAACAGAGGCAGCACCCTTGAAAGTGCTGCACCTGCTACTACCATGTTTTCGATCGTTGTAGTGCCTTAACTTCAAAGAGCGCTCAAAATCAGGATTATTGAGTGAATACTATGAAAAAAGCTGTTGATCATCTACATATTTAGCACACAGGAGTATGATGTTCCACGAGACAAAGATCACCCATGGTGAGTTCCATCAACTTACTGTTT